AAGCGCCTTCTACTCTACATCCTCACCCGGATTCTTCGCCCCCGGGACGGCAGCCACACGTGTCTCTTCAACGAGGATCTCAAGGCCGTTCATGCAATCACCCATGGCGCTTCAATCAATTGGGCGAAATACGTCATGATCCACATGGCGGATTGCGCCTCAATCGCCACCGAAAGGAGCTTGCCATACGCCTTCCTCGTCATGGACCTCATCGTCTCCGCCGACATCCACATCGCCGGGCCAAGCACGAAGATGACGAAGATTTGGATCATCCAAGATAGCACCTTCTGGAAGAAGTCCGGTGACGGAACCGGCGCTGGACCGAGTCGTGCCCCTGCCCCCGCTCCCGCCAAGGCGTCCTTACAGTCCATAGCCGATACTCTGAATCGGCTAACCCTCACAGTGGATGGCATGGGGCAGTCAATCGAGCGGATGGATTGGACGCTGCAACGTCAACACCATGACATGACGGCGTACTTCCGGGGCATCAACTACGTCCCACCGCCCTTTGACAGCACCATTAAATTACTGCCACGTGTATATATTATGGCTCCGTTTGGCATGAACGTTAGAGATTAGCGTTTGCGTTTTGAAAAGACTATCCGACTGTAGCTTTTAGCGTTTTCTGAATTAATCTACACTGTTAATATTTTATCCAAAACGCTAACGCTAATTGAAAACGCTCTTCCCAAACAAGGCCTATTTAAAAGACTCCACATCATTTTAAATTCTAAAAATTGCATTAACGCCCTTACTAGTTTTCTTCTTGTTAATTCTTCCCATCGGTTCTCCCACCTCATTTTGTTATCCCACTTCATTACGAAGTACTTATTATGAGTCATTACTCTATTTAATGTTTATCATCATATTTTTTTTCATTCTCTTAGGTTTGGTTTTGTTCAAATTATTTTTTCTTATTCATTATTTATTTTTAGTAAAATCAAATTCTATCATAATAGATCAGATGCACTCAAATCAGACGTAATTCGATCACGTCTTCAAATCAGATCAGACCATATCGTATCCTCTCTATTCAGATTAGGCTAGATCTATTTAGAAAAATTTTGAAAAGTAATTTTATTGTTCTATCTAAAATTAAATAATGAGTACTATATGGTTAAATCATACTCCCTCCGTTTCCTTAAAAGGTTCTTGTTTTGACTTTTAGCCAAAGTAAGGAAAATGTAATTTTGGTTGACTTTCTAATTTTGCCCCTACTGTGATGGGTAAAAGTAAGATGTGATAGTTTGGTTATTAGTGAAAAAGTATGATGTGATTGGTAGGATATGAAAAAGTAGAGGTAAAAGTAGTTTTTAATAGAAAATGGAAGTGTTTTAGAGAATTGGAAAAAATTGAAAGAATTGATATATATATATATATATATATATATATATATATATATATATATATATATATAAAACCCGAAGAGGATCCACCAAAATCGGTGGGGTAAGGTCGAGGCCGCCCTTACCAATTTTATTAGATAAAGTTTTGATAACACGTTCGAGGAGGACTAGATCGAGGCCCCGAAGGTAGGACAAAATACATTAAAAGGACAGTTACAACAAAAGTAAAAACTGGCACAAAATACAAAACTGTAGCCCAAGAGAGGACGGAAATCAATCTGCAGAACGGAAAGCCCAATCCCTAATTACCCTTCCACTGAGCGCCCGGATTTGAATCCTTTCATGGATTAGTTCCCGATCGTAGATCATCCATTTCTTGTGTCTGTATTTCCAGCACCAGGATTGAAGGTTACTAATAATGTCCTTGGTGATGTCCTCGACCCTGCATTTGTTATTCCCAAAGTTAACTGCTGCATAATGCTTCCAGATGTTCGAGCCGATGATGCATGGTGCTATCCTTTTAAGGTTCCCTCTAAGCGTGTGATTGTTGCCTCGCAAGTTCCATTCGAGGAGATGTTGCTTGAAGGAGATGTTATCTTTGAGAATTGGCTCATCTAAAAGGTAAGCAAACTTGCTCCAAATATTTCTGATTTTTGGGCATTGAAGGAGGCAGTGGTTCAAAGATCCCTCATGATTTAGGCAGAAAGGGCATATGGAAGGGTAGCTGTAAGAGAACCTAGTCAGGTTTTCTGGCCAAGGGAGTGATCTATAATTTGTTTTCCAGATAAAGAGCCTGACTTTAGGGATTTGTAGCTTGTTCGAGTTAAAATTGTTACTCATTTGGGCTGTCTCTTTCCCCCTGTAGAAGTTGAAAGCCTTTTTAAGGGAAAATTTATTATTCTCTAAGAGAGCAGACTCACAGTGCTCGAGTGCTTGATGATGTATTCTGCAAATTCTTTTCTTAACTGTAGAGTCCATAAGTCTTTCAGTTCTAAAAGTATCTCCATATTTGTTTCTCATAAAATTAGCCCATTTGCATTATGATATTTCCACCAGAGCTTAATTGAATAAGCCTTCTGAACCTCCTTTAAGTTTCTGATTCCAAGCCCCCCTCCATCTCTGGAAGACAAATCATTTCCCAGGATTTCCAGTGGTATTTGGGTTTGTCCCTGCTGTAGCCCCATAGGAAATTATTCATTTTTCTATGAATACTGTTGATGACAGAAATAGGGAGGGTATGAACTGCAAGAATGTGTAGAGGAATGGCTGAAAGAACATGTTTGATAAGAACCAGTCTACCCATTTGATTAAGAGTCTTGCTAAACCAGTTATGAAGGTAGAACTCAATATGGTTGATCAGCTCCTTACAATCGTCTTTTCTCAAGATCCCTTTACATATAGGTGCCCCAAGATATCTAAAGGGAATTTGACCATGTTGCATTCCCAGAATTC